GGGAGCACCACCACGCTCCCAAGCAGCGCACTGTAGCAGTGCGCCACCGGGCCGGCCCCCCACTCTCATTTTAAAAAATGTCTTCTGCTGCTCTATTTTCTGAGTTTTATTATGTTTCTTTCAACATCCTTCTTCTTGGTGTAATACTTTCAGTTGATTATCAGCACTTTTAGCTGAAGGGTCATCTATAATTTTATTCTTAAACTTCTAATTACAACCTCTACTGAAGGTCCTGTTCAGGGGCTAGAAATAACAGCTTTACTAGTTTTTGTAAAGCCTTATGTCATTTTGAGATTGGCCTGTAGCCAAGCCCTGATCCAATGGCTAGAACTGAGAAGAGCAGTTCTAAAGCTACTGCCTAAGCCCATAAACTTGCAGTGTACTGTAATGGAGGACTGGGCATTGGGCAAAAGCAAACCCTGATCCCAAGGTCAGTTGGATAAACTATTCAACCTCATTCTTAAGAGCAAACCTGGTATTCTTTACAGATCCCTGAAGATTCTAAGTGACAGACCTACTACTGAGATACAGATTAGAATTTTACATGTTCAAACGTCTACCACCAATGGTTAGAGAGAATATCTCTCAGATAAAGAAACCAACAGGAAGGGAAAAAAGAGAATACACTCAGACAAATATCATCTATAAATGATCTAATAAAAATTCTTCACTTAGCACCTTAAAAATTGGAACCACATGCATAAATTTCCTCTTAATAAGTACTGTATATTCATTTGTTTGTTCATTCCATTCACTCCAACAAATACTTATTAAGCACCTATAATGTGCTAGGCACTATTCTAAGAACATGGGTTTCAGCAAGCCAACAAGACAGACAAGGTTTCTGCCATTAGGAAGCTTACATTTCAATGGGGGAAGATGGACAATAAACAAACAAATAAATAATTTGATAATAAGGGTACAAAGATATAAAGATAGTGGAGAGAGGACCAATATAGGTGGATCTGTTGTTTCTGATGATACAATTAATGCAAGTATAGAGGAAGAATTCATTCTTCCGTGGGGGGTGAGGGGGATTAGGGGACGAGGAGAATCAGCAAAGGCTTCAGTGCAAGAAGGATGGGTGACTTAGGCCATAAGGGGGAACAGGAGTTTGAGAAGTGTAAGATGCGGGTGGTTAGAGAAACATGCTTCTCTAACAAATGACCTGAGACTAAATAATAAGTCAGTTATGTAAAGGTAAATGAGCTCTGTAAAGATATAAGGGAAGAGTATACAGTCCTCTGTTGATTTATCTTTGACTTGCATTATTTCTATAGGACCATTAGCACCACCTTTATGCATATTAAATATCAATTTCTTTGTAGAAGTCCTTAATTTATATTTAATAACCAAGAATAATAATAGAAAAATCAGATCAATAATTTGAAAATCAATATTTATTAGGTCAGTCTTTGTGCAAGGCACTAAGAACTAGAAGACAAGGTCTTTGTTACATATGCAAACAAAATGAAAAATACCATCTAAGCAGTACTCACAGGACTATTTTTTTGGCACATAAAATGCTAAACTTTAGTTAACAGATGTTTTAGAAACACACTAGAATTAAAGGTACAGGCTAGAAATGATTAAAAAGTGTTTATAAGTAGTGATTAAAGAAATAGTCACTGAGTTTATCCAATACAAATTAGGGTTAAAGGCAAATTTTCTCCTGACAGCATTTCAGAGAACCAACAATCTGCAAGTTAATTCTTTGGAAAATACAACATCTCAATCTTAAGGTCAAAAGGCCTGTTTGCTTAAATATTTAATATTTTTTTTTGTGACTCTCATGATACTATCTCATAGGTATCTCTCGTCAAATACACTATCTTTTAGTAAAAAAGACAAATAGAGTATGAAAGTATAATACAGCAGGGATGAGTATTTGCAACACAACATTTATTTGTATGAGTATGAGGAGGAAACGAGAACTGATTTATAAAGTAAGATTCTACAAACACAATTAGTAAGTTTTTTACTATTCTAATTCAGGACAAAAAACAACAAAAAACTATATAAGAAACTGTTATGTATGAATGAGATAGTCAGTAGAAAATCTGTTTAGAAAATAGCAGTTCTGTAGGAAGGTCCACAAGAGCAATGTATTTATGTATCAGTAATAAATTCTACCTGATGTTTACTTGCATTTTCTAAGAGTAAAAATAGTTATTTTTTAGTCTACTTATATCTGTGCTTCACATTTTAGTACATCAGATAT